CTGCCTTGCCATGTGGATCTCCTCCGGGGCAGGCAGGGATTGAACTCATGCTGAAGTGGCTTTAGCTTCTTAGTGCAGTGCTTTAACCCGCTGTGCCACCAGGGAGGGCCCTTAAGATTTAATTTTTAAAGTGCCACACTATGAAGCTCTCCATAGCCACTGCAGCATGAGTTTGATCCCAGGCTAGGGAACTGACCCACATGATATAGCAGACCTCTCCTGACTTGCCTACTTCTCCCCTCAGCAGTGAAGTTTGGTGGATCTGCCTGTTCTGCTCCCTACTCTATCTCTGGTGAATCCTCTCAACCTCTGTCACCTCTGGCCTGTACCCAGGTCTTGTATGCATCAACAAGTAAATCTTTAAAAAAATTAATTTTTATTTATTGATGTGAACAAGACCTGGGGTATAGGCCAGGGTTGCCAGGGTTGAGAGGATTCATCAGAGACTGAATGGGGATCAGAACAGGAGGATCTACTGAAATACACTTCTGAGGAGAGCAGTGTGCAAGACAGGTCTGTTGTGTTATCTCCTTGACCAGGGATTGAACTCATGTCATAGAGGCTAGGGATAGCTTGATAGTGCTGAGACTTTAACAAACCCTGGGATGCCCCACAATTAAACTTTTATTTATTTATTTATTTTTATTTTTCTATACAGGTGACTCTACCTCTGGGCAGAGGGCTATCTATCACAGTTTGGGACTGACTGGAATTCCTATAATTAACGTCAACAATAATTGTGCTACTGGTTCTACTGCTTTGTTTATGGCTCGACAGCTGATTCAGGGAGGTAAGGAGCACTCACTTAGGTAGTGTACATAAGTAGATGTGGGGTTATTGTCCCCCTTTCGTAATTTCTCCATATGACCATCAGAGAGATTGTTATACAATATTTATTTTGTTAAAAAAAAACACTTTAAAAGATGTAATTTATATACCATAAAATTCACACTTTTAAAGTATACAAGTCAGTGTATTTTAGTACATTCACGGTTATACAATTCCCACTGCTATCTAATTTTAGAACATTTTAGCACCCTGAAAAGAGACCCTGTACCCATTAGTAGTCACTTTTCTCCCCTTTCCCCTTAGCCCCTGGCAGCCAGTAGTCTATTTTCTATATCTATGGATTTATCTATTCTAAATAATATATGGCTTTCTGTGGCTTCTTTTACTTAACATTATATTTTCATAGTTCATCCATTTTGTAGGACATATTTGTACTTTATTCACTTTTATGGCCAAATAACAGTTGCAAGTTTACGTTGCATTTTGTTTATCCACGTAATCAACTGATGAAATTTAGGTTTTGTCCATTTTTTAAATCATGCTAGTATGACATTTGTGTATGTATAATGATTTCTGTGACCATATGTTTTCAGTTCAATTGGTTATATATAATATTCTATAATTATCCAAACAGTCTAGGATCTTTTATCAGGCCTTCTTTTCTGTTCTACTGATTGTCGTTTATTGCTGAGCTACTCAGTGTTTTAATTGTGGAACTTTATAATGTCTTACTGTTTGGTAATGCTAGTGTACCTCCTTTTGTAAAAGAAAAAAATTGACAATTCTGTTTTGTTTTGCTATTCACTTGAACTGTAACATCATCACAAAGGTGTCCTTTCCCTCCAAAATAATTCTTTTGTGATTTTAATCAGTATCCTTTTTAATAAAACTTTTACTTTAAAAGAAAATTTTTACTTAATGCCTTAATATTAAAAATTAACTATATTTTTCTTTCATTGAAGCATATTTCTGTTATTCAGAAGTTTCATTAATATATTGAGAATCAAAGGAATACTTAAACATTTTCTTAATTTTTTCCTCTTATCTGGAAGCATGAAAAATTTTTCTATAAATTTTCATTTATTAAAAATATTACTATAGTATGTGTTTCCACTTTATATAAATTGAAATACTTATTTGAGGTATTTAATGATATTTTGTATGGTGGTTGGAAATTTCATTTTTCAAAATAATTGCATTTTCTTTTAAGGTATGGCAGATTGTGTCTTGGCTCTTGGGTTTGAGAAGATGGAGAAAGGATCTATTACAATGAGTGTGAGTCTCATTTACTGTTATTTTGGAGTTCATCATAGAGGAAATTTAATTTATCCTGTTAATTTTGTGAATGATGAAACTGGTATTTAGAGGTTTCCCTTTGAAACATTTCTGAACTGATTTGATCCACATTTACTGTTTTGTAGTTTATTGTGCACTTTGAATAAGCATATGTCTTTGCAACACTGTCATAGATCAGAGACTCACTATGTCATTACTAACTTTTACTTTTTTCCTCCCGTTGCAGTTTTCAGATAGGACCAATCCATTAGATAAGCATGCTGAGGTCCTGAGCAATAACTGTGGATTGTCTGCCCACCCTTTTGCTTCTCAGATATTTGGGAATGCTGGAAGAGAACACATGGAAAAATACGGTATTTTAATAAAATTTTAAGATTTATTGGTAGTTACATGCACATGTTAAGAAACAATAGCTATTAATAAATAAGGGAGTGTGGAAGATACCAGGATATAAAATTATTTTTTAATTAAGATGGAGAAATAGTATTGGAGAACTTAGTTGTAAAAAAAGTATTTAAGAGATGCAGCAGTGAGAGACTTGGAGTGGCTGGGACCTAACGATGAGTCTCGTCAGGGACTGGGGCTGAGCTGTGGTCATGGGGCGCTCTCTGCTGGCTGGTTTGGCGCAGCTCCACAGTGATTTGCTACACTCACCTCCAGGGTGCCTTGTTATTCCTAATGATAATAAACTGGAAGGTTGAAGAAGCAGAGCCATTCTAATTAAGGAGTTTCTGAACACAAAGAACTTATACATGTGGAAAGAGGACATGACCAACAGCATTAATTTATTCAAAGGAGGCCACAAGGTATCCCTAGGTATACCTCAACCAGAAATCCCCAACCTCCCAGACCATGAGTTATGGCCTGGAATATCAGCAACTGTTTTTTTTTAAAGACCTGCCGAGGGATTGGCTGTCTCCTAGATAAAGATGAAGATGACAGTTGTAACAGGGCCTGTCTGCCATTGGCAGTGGAGCAGATTCACTCTGCCACAGTGGCAGCGAGTGCATCACCCTGCAGCATATACAACTCCGTCTCCAACCCATTGGAGCAGGTGGAACCTGAGACCCCTCTGACACTGAGCGACTTCAACTCCTATGTCTTTCTGGCAGGCAGTCCTGGGACAGATCTTATAGTCCATAGAGAATCTTTGCAAAGCTGGCAGCTCCAAACTTTGCAGATAAATTATGAAGCACTGAAAGGTAAATACTTCAAGGCCAGAAGAAAGCTGAGGTTCAGCGCTTTTCTGAAACTCAAACAGAAATGGTGAGCACCATTGAATGGAAACTGGAAGCAAAAATGAGAAAGGAGGAATGATACTATCAGGCCCTGGAATTGATGGTGCAGCAGGAGAAACAGAATCTGAAACTAATAAACAAACTGCTTTCAAATGCAATCACATCCTGAGACTGAAACAGGAAGTAAATTTGTGGGCACAGTTCTCTTAGCTTCAAGCACAGAATGAAGCTCTGGGGTTGGGCCTGGACAGCAGCCTAGCTGTAGTGAGGCTTGTGGCCCTGCAGAACCTCTGTTTCATCATGAGCAATGTGCATTCCATAAAGCAGTGAGTTCCTGGAGCTAAAACATTGAATCTTGTCATTGAAATCCTTAAATCTATAGATAGAATTTCTGAAATTAAAGATGAAAAGGGTCCTGCACCACCAGATGTTTTTAGGGGAGCTAAGGGGCAGCAGCGGGCAGGTCAGGAGAGGTCTGCTGCGCCATATGGATCACCTCTGGGTGGGGATGGAATTCATGCTGACGTGGCTTTAGCTTCTTAGTGTTGAGCTTTACCCTGTGCGCTACCAAGGAGAGCCCTATTTACTGAGTTTTAACAATGCCATTGTGTCTTTAAATACTCAGTTTAAAGCCTACTAAAAATATTTCTCATGAGGTACAAATTTCATGACCTAAAACGTATTATTAGGCAGCAACAATGAGGAGCATTTCCGCCAGGGGAAAGTACCTATGGCTTCTCTAAGATTCTTTTTGGTGAACTCCCTGCTGTTTTAGGCTCTAAGGATTTATTGGAAGGTATCTTAGTAAAAGCTAGTGATTTCTTTAAAGTTGCTAAGCTTGAAAAAAGCAATTCTATAATAAATGTTTTTCTTTGTCATCCCAGAGCAATAACTGTAAAATAAGTGCAATGACTCCTCCTTGATTTCATAAGTAGAAAGAAGTCTGTAGACTTTTTTCTGTAGAAAAAAATTCAGTCAGACCGAATGAGTCTGATTGAAATGATAGCCTAGGACGTTTACCTTTGCCCTGACTCAGTGCCCCTTCTGGTTCATGCCTGCCCCTGTGACCTTCACAGAGGTGGCTCCTGTGGTTGATGGCCTAAGTGTGGGGTCCCAAGAGGTAGGCACTACTGATACCCCATAGGGACCAAAGTGGACGCAGGCACCTGTGGTGTGAAGCCCTGTGAACACATCTCTTTATGGACTTCAGATGTGAAAAACTGCTTTTGATTGATGGTTTATTTTTTATGATTTAATATTTTTACTAACATACATATATTATACATACAATGTATACTGTATATACATATAATATGCAATAACAATACAGTGTTATTAAGGTAACATTGGCTTACAACACTGTGATTTAGGGAGGTAGCTTCATACCTTTTCAGATGTATATTACCTCCATCCCCACTTTCAAAGCACCTGTATCCTTTACCCGAGGTCATCGGGCCCTCTCCCCCTTTTATTCTCACCATCTCCTCCTTCCACCTCTAGTAACCTCAATTATATAGTAATATTTTTATGGTTTGTTTTATCAGTTCCTTTGTTTTAATTTTGTTAGTTTTGTTTCTTTTTATTCCACACATGAGTGAAATCATCTGTTTTTTGTCTTTCTCCTTCTGACTTATTTTACTTGGCTGGAGTAAAGATTTTGAATGTCTTATTGGAAAGCAATCTGTTTAACTTTTTGTAACCCATTATCATCTGAACATAATGATGGGAGAACCCTTATTTTTAGTAACATTAAAAACTCCCAAATAAGGAAAAACCCAAACCCACACTATTTCTTTATCTTGTCCCCAAAGATGTCCTAATTTTTTTCTTTATTTTTTAATCTTCTTCCTGATATCCAAATGCTATGTTTCACTTGATCTACCAGTCAGTCCAATCAAACAGCTGTATTAATTTGATGTAACTTCTTCTTACATAGGTTACCTCCTGATCACCATTCTCTTTGGTGTGAGATCTTCATTGTTAAATCTACTCTCTTCTTTTTTATCTGGGGACATTTGCCTTCATTTGCCTTTCTTAGCTCCAAAGGAGAATTTAAAGTTATTTTAAAAATAGTAAAAAGAGTTTTTGTAGATTTCACTTCACTAGTATGCTTGCTTTTGCCTTCTTGACATTATTCTTAAACTTCTTAGTATAGTTTATAAAAAACACACTTATTTCTTTCTAGGGCAAAACTCTTCTGAAGACCCTTCTACCTTATCATAAGGAAAGAGATCAAACCCTTTAGGGGTGTGAGTTGTAAAATTCACTTAATCCGGGGGCATGGAATGTTTTGGCAGGTTCCTTAGGAATAATTGTCAGTGCTTTATTGCCTTCAATACAATAGATTCCCAGTCTCTCTCTCTCTCTCTCTCTCTCTCTCTCTCTCTCTCTATATATATATATATATACACACTTTTTAAAGATTTTATTTATTTATGCATACAGAACTGGGGTACAGGCCAGAGATGCAGGGGCGGTGAGAGGATTCACCAGAGACAGAGACCAAAACAGGCACTGCTGAGGGGAGCAGTGGGTGGGTCAGGAGAGTTCTGCCTCACCATGTGCATCACCTCTGGGGCTGGGGATAGAACTCGTGCTGAAATGGCTTTAGCTTCTTAGTGCTATGCTTTAACCTGCTGAGCCACCAGGGAGGGCCTGTATTTTTTATTGTTTAGAATGGTACCTAAGTTATACTGGATAGAATAGGCTAACTTGAGATATTTTATATCATATTCTTATTAGTTAATTCAACTCATTAAATATGCCCAAGTTTAATTGTAAGGAAATATTGTGTGAGGGGTCAAGGTTGAGGTTTTCTACACTGATCTTCATACTCAGGGGGACTGTCAGAATTTTTAGTAGGATGCTGAATATGATTGCAACATTTGTGGGTACACATCGAGGAAAAAAATCCAAGAATAAATTTTTACTTTCTCTATAGGAACAAAAGTTGAACATTTTGCAAAAATTGGATGGAAAAATCATAAACATTCTGTTAATAACCCGTAAGTATTTCTGAAATAAAAAATAGTGAAAAACTGGATTATTCTGCTCTGTGTATACAGTTTTAAACAAGCAACTGCAATACTTCAGGGATATCAACTAGAATTTTTTTTTTCATATAAAAGCCTTGTGCTAAAGTAAACTTTTAACTACTTTTCTACTTTTTTTTTTTAAGATTTATTTTTTAATATAGAACTGGGGTATAGGTGCAGGGGTGGTGAGTGGATTCAGCAGAGACAGAATGGGGAGCAGAACAGGCAAATTGAAGAAGTACACTGCTGAGGGGAGCAGTGGGGGAGACAGGAGAGGTCTGCTGTGCCATATGGATTATCTGCAGGGCCAGGGATTGAACTTGCACTGAAATGGCTGCAGCTAGTTTGCAGTGCTGCACCTTAACCTACGGCACCACTGGGGAGGGCCACTTTTCTACTTTTTTGGGGGGTGGTGGTGGTGTTTCTGTCACTACTCCAGAGTTAATGCAGACCCCCTGAATTAAGGACTCAGTCCTTCATAACACTACACTCACATCAGATGCCAGCAGCAAGTAGGATCCAGGCCATCTTCTTTTCTGATCAACTGACTGTCAAATAGGGGATTCCTATGACCCTTTTAGGTTTGATAAATCTCTAGAATGACTTGCAGAATTCAGGAAAGTTTTGTGCTTACAACTGGATTGTTATTCCAAAGGTTACAACTCAGAGTCAAATGAAGCAACACATAGGATCAGGTCTGGTAGGATTCTGACTGCAGTCTACCTCCATTCTCTCTCCTCAAAACATACTATCTTCTTTAACATATCAAGGTACTCACCAACCAAGAAGCTCCATCAGGCTGCAATATCCAGTTTTTATGAAGCTTCATGGTTCAGGGATATCTGATTAAATCATTGGCCACAGGGTTGAACACAATCTCAAGCCCAATCTTTTCTCCAGAGGTCAAACTGGCTCAGAAATCCCAGCCCTACATTCACATTGTTGGTCATCCTGGTAACCATCCCTGTCTCTTGTCTTCCCCTCCACACAAGTAGTCCACCTGGAGTCACCTTATTAGCATAAAAGGGACACTTTTATCTCTCAGGGGAACTCCAAGGGTTTTATAAGCTTCATGCCAGAAACCCAGGACAAAGATTAGACTTTAAAAAAAATTATATAGTATGGTATTTTGGAGTTGGGCTTCTGTAAAAAAGTTCAATTGAAAAGACTTATTTGTTAGAGGTTGAAATAGTTCATAAAAATTCATCTCTGGGTTGTGGAAATAATATTTACATTTACTTATTTTGTATTTAGGTATTCCCAGTTCCAAAAGGAATACAGTTTAGATGAAGTGATGAAATCACGACAAGTTTTTGATTTTTTGACTGTTTTACAGTGTTGGTAAGAAAAGCACATTTTAATATTTAATAGAAATATCTGGATGTATATTACCTGTATCTGCTTTATAGAACTTCTGCTGATGTCGCCCTCACCCTACAATGAGTTCCTTTACCTCTTACTTCTGCTTAAAGTCAGACTGTCTCTTCTCTTGGAAAATTACATATTTTACTTCATTTTCTTGTGAATTATGCTTACATTTCTTCAGCTGCATTTACTTATTTACATGAGACTTAGGAGACAAGATTCCAAAGATTTTTCTCTTGAGCATTTTTTTCCCTCTACTGTGAGGAATTTTACTCCTTTATTGTAAATAAGAGTAAACAAAACAAGGAAAAAGGCGTACTGTGATAATGAGTTAGTACTGTATATCTTCTGTCTGTCCCTAGTTAGTTTTTTTTTTTTTCCTTCCTAATAAAATCCATTGTTTATAGACACTGAATATATCCAATTTTCTGTTAGGGACAGACAGGAGATATACAGTACTAACTCATTCAGACCTAACAAGTGGTTGTGCCCTGAAGCAACTGTCTAGGTGGGATTCAAGTGAACAAGGATGATCAGCTTTTATCTATTGCAATATGAGGCTGTGGACATTTATAAGGTCCAGCTGACCTCACAGATGGTTTCTTTTGTTTGCTACTTTTTTTTTTGTTTGTTTGCTACTTTTTTGCTGTGAGAAAAATTTTGAGTCTAACCAAACCATAAACTTTGCAGTGTCCTCTGTTCTATCCTTTCCTAGTTTCCAAAAGAATTCCAAGACTAAGTTACTTGGGAGAGAGTATAGCAGGAAATGCAGAGATGGAAATTCAATCTATAAGATATGCTTTATTGTCATAATGGCAGCAATCTGAGATAATGGCGGATATGTTACTCCCAAAAAGACATTCTGACATCTTATCTTGAGCTGACCATTTTCTAGTGAATTAAACAAAGATACTTTAGTGGAAAAAACCAAAGTGAATGTTTCAGGATTGCCCATCATGGTTGGTGTACCTGGTATTTATCTTGTTTAGCCCCCAGAGTTAGCTGTCCCAGGCTTGTTTATCTTGACTCAGGTGCAGATCGACTGAAATACACTGCTGAGGGGAGCAGCGGGCAGGTCAGGAAAGGTCTGCTGTGCCTTATGAGTCAGGTCTCTGGTTGGAGCTATAGTGGCTGGCAGAAGCTTGATAGTGCTGTGTCTTTAACCTCTTCGCCCCCAGGAAGGCCCCAAAAGAAGAGTTAATTCAAAGAGGACAGATCATTAATCATGCAGTATTTGCATGCAGCCTATGCTGTGTGTGTATGTGTGGATTCCTATACTAGATATGGTGTCCTTCCTTGCTCCCTAACTCCCTATTAATAGAAGTGTTGGAACTAACTCGACCTATAGTAGAAATAACTTTGTGAACTCTTTAGAAGTCACCAGAAGATACCTTATTCATCTGCAAAGGCAAATCTGGGATTCTTTGCGATAAAAGCTTTTTGGGGAGAGGTTTTTACTTAGAGAATCTCGCAGTGACTGACAGCATTTAAGTTCTTTATAGAAGTTCAGTACCCAAATGGGAAACATCTGTAATATTTAACAGTTGATAACCCATAGAGGACAGTCCAATAAACAGCAAGTTTATTCAGTCTTTTTTCCAGAAAATAACTCTTTTCCTGAAATCCTAGGATTGATGTGTACCAGGTGTAAATAATTATTTTTACCTCCTCTCAGCCCCACTTCAGATGGTGCTGCAGCAGCGATTTTGGCTAGTGAAGCATTTGTACAGAAGTATGACCTACATGCCAAAGCTGTGGAAATTTTGGCACAAGAGATGGTGACTGATTTTCCAAGTTCATTTGAAGAAAACAGCCTTATTAAAATGGTATGTCCTGAGAGCCTGTTCTGTTAACAAATTGAAGAATTTCTGTTTAAAATTTCATAGTGACATCATGTTGTCTCAGGTCTGAAAGTAATTTAATTGAAAAAAATTGGTCTATAAAATTTAATTTTATACCCCACCGTAAGTATCTTAAGAACATAATACACTTATGATAGTGTTAGGCATACAACTTTTAATTAACTAGCTGTGCTATTTACTTTTATTTTGAGTTAACTAAACATACCCAAAACTCTAATTTTAGAAACTTACAAAGGTGTTTTTTAGGGAACTTTCTTTGCTGTTAGTACTTAAGAGAAAAAATCCTGATTGAAGATTGGGACAAAATGGAGGAAGTAAAAAAGATGAAAAAGTAGGCCTAAAGTTAGTTGACTATTATTGCATTTATAAAAATAGATATGCATGTACAAGGATACATAAATGATCATAAAGAAAATTACAGTTTGTAAAATTATTTTACAACAATGCTTTGAATTTTAAAATATCCCTGTAACTTGCAGATGATCAGAAAGCTAGGTAGGATATAGCAGAGATGTTCAGGTTTTTGAATTACAGTACATTTTCCACATTGGAGTTTTATTCCTTGGAAAAAAGTTGAACTTGTTTGTTATTATTGAACCAAGGAGGAATTAAGAACATGAATTTTAGAAAAATAATTTAAGCCTCCCTCTCTGGTGGTCTAGAGGTTAAATCTCAGTGCTATCACTGAGATGGCTCACCTCCTGAGTTCAGTCCCCAGCCAGAGAGCTGACCCACATGGCGCATCAGACCTCTTTGGTCCAGCTCTGCTCCCCACTCTGTTCCCGGAGAATCCTCTCATTTCCCCACATGTCTGGCTTATACCCTAGTTCTTCTGTGCATAAATAAATAAAATCTTAAAAAAGAAAAATTGGGCCCTCCCTGGTGGCGCAGCGGGTTAAAGCACAGAACTGAGAAGCTTAAGCCACTTCCTCATGAGTTCGATCCCCGCCTGCCCTGGAGGAGATCCACATGGCGTGGCAGACCTCTCCTGACCCGCCCGCTGCTCCCCTCAGCAGTGTACTTCGTTGATCTGCCTGTTCTGCTCCCCACTTTGTCTCTGGTGAATCCTCTCACCCTCCGCATCTCTGGCCTGTACCCCAGTTCTGTATGAATAAATAAATCTTTAAAAAAAAAAAAAAAAGAAAAGAAAAATTGTTTGAAATCCTATATGATCTAAAAGAAGATTTTACATGTGTGTGTGTGCACACACACCACATTCATATATACACCAAACACACACATATAAATTCCCCCATTGCTTTTTAAAGTATCTGAATCTAATAATCAGTTGATAAATCATTTCAAGCTATTTACCATAAGCATATCTTGTGATTTGATAGTATTAAATAAAAAAGATTAAAAATTTTAAATAGAAAGATCTGCAACTAGATAATAATAACCACAGAAACATATTTGCTAGAATAATATAATATTGTCAAAACCAATATGTTTTACTTTGGTCTGAGTTGAAATATGTCTGCTCAAGATTCTTTTACAAATAGTTATGGCCCAAGGAATTATAATCATCATTGTTTATCTTATTTAAAATTATGTATAGAAATTAAAGTACAAAATTTAAGATGTACATTCTCCTTGTGTATTCTTTTATTTGGGCTTTCTGTAATATAGAATCAACTGAGATGTCAATATATGTGGTCAATTTTCAGCTGTTTTGTTATATATATTAGTCTCTTACAATCCTGAAATAAAAGTCCCTGTTTTGATGCTCTTAATTTATTATTTATGGTTTTGTATTTAGGTTGGATTTGATATGAGTAAAGAAGCTGCCAGGAAGTGCTATATGAAATCTGGCCTAAAACCAGCTGATATTGATGTAATAGAACTTCATGATTGCTTTTCCACCAATGAACTCATTACTTATGAAGCACTGGGACTCTGTCCAGAAGGTATTATCTTAGTTAAGATACAGACAAACTTTGTAAATTACACTAATAAAATTTTATTTTCACAATTAAAGAATTTACTAATTGCCTTTCCCTCTACAATTGTTTTGTCACACTGTCATGCTGTGAATATAAGCTATCTTGATGTTGAACACTTTAGAACCTGTAATCTTGGGCAATACCCACACAGAACTAACAGTGGACAGATAGTATTATGTAAATCAGGGCCACTTATAATGTACTGTTAAGTGAGGGGAATGGGGGATAATATATATGTTAACTCCCAACTATTTCAGATTGTGTCTGACTAAGGACTTGCAGGAAAGAAAAAGGAAAATCTACTTTAGTGATGGAAAAATCTGAAGGTTCCCCCCTCTTTTCATTTCTGAAGTGATACACCATTTTCTGTTACTGCCAGCAGTGTATGAGAGTTTTAATCATTTTACTTCCTTGTCACCCCTTGAGGTGGTTTGAAAATTTTAGCCATTTTTTAGATGATAAATTATGTCTTATTTAGTTTTAATTTGCATGTCCTTGATAACTAATGAAGTTGAGCACTTTTTTCTTTTTAAGGTAACATTGTTTTACAGCACTGTATATGATTTAGGGGAGTAGGTTCACACCTCAAATATGTATGTCATCATACCACACCCATCTCTAAGAAGCACTTCACAGTCCCTGACTGTAGACCATTGGGCCCCATCTCCACTTTGTCTCACCCTTACCTTTCCTCCTTTCTTGTAGCCTCAATTCTGTAGTCATTTCTAGGGTTTGTTTTAGTTCACTTTTGTCAGCTCTTTTGCTTTATTTCTCTCTATTATGCATGAATGAAATCATCTATGAATTTCTGTGACTTATTTCACTTGTTCTAATCCCTTCCAGATCCACCCATGTTGTAGCAAATGGCAAGAGTTCATATTTTTTTAGATAGCCGAGTAGTGTTCCATCATGTTATAGAAATAGCCTGAGTGTCCAATAACACAGGAATGGTTAAGAAGTATATAGGACATCATCATTCCTTTGTTGTTAGGCTCGCAGGTGGTTTCCATAACTTGTGCAATGTAAATAGTGCTGTAGTGGATCTAGGAGTGCATATATCCTTTTGAATTAGTGTTTTTGCATTCTTTGAGTAGATACCCACAGGGTATTTGGGATTTGCTGGGTCATATGGTAGATACAGTCTTTTCTTCTGGAACTCTAATAGTACATATATTAGACCTTTTAATTGTTGCCCCCACGGGTCCCTGAGGTGCTGTTCATTTTTTAATCTGCTTTTCAGGTTTGGTCACTTATATTGGTACATATTTAAGCTTATGGACTCCTCCTTACCCTCTTTCTGCTCTTGAATCTCTAGTGAGTTTTTTATGTCAAACATTGCAGTTTTAGTTTTAAAGTTCCCACTTGTTTCAATTTGTAGTTTCCACTTTTCTGCTGAGAACTTGTGTCTTTTTATTAATTTTTAGGGTGTTTATTTAATAGTTCAGGTAACTGTTTTGTCTTTGTCTTATCTTCTATAGCCTGGGACTTTTCAGGTTTTGAATTTATTGCTTATCTTTTTCCCTTGAAAGCTGGCCAAGTTTTCCTGGCTTTGTTTATCAAGTAATTTTGGATTGTATGGGTGAATTCTATGTCATATAGATTCTGAAGAGAGTGTTATCTTTTAGCAAGCAGTCAATGCACCTGTATTTAGAAGGTCTTCTAAGTGATGGTTAAATATTTTTGAATAAAAAACTTCTGTAAGCCTTTGCTGTGCTGGTTTGGATCTGTCCTACACATTCTTAGTTCAGGAGGGAGCCATACACAGGATTTAGTAACCCCTTATCTCACTTTATCCACTGCAAACATCCTCCTTTACTCTTTGGCCTGAAGAGAATTCTTCTAGTTCCTATAGATAGAAATACAGGATTTCTGTTAGATATTTGCTGCCAAGTGCTACTCTGGAACTGTGCTTCCCTTGGGGCAAAACTATTAAGAGTTTAAAAAAGGGTTGTGGATTCTCCATGTTTTGACTCCCACCCTTTTCTCCCTGCTTTTGTGTATTCCCCAGAGTAGGTAGTGTTTTTGTTAACTTTACCCAGTATTTTAGTTGTAATCAGTGGGAGAGATGGACTAGAGTGAACATACACTGCCTTAGCAGAATTGGAACCCAATCTCAAGGTTTTAAGTATAGTGGTGACTTTCAAATAGATATCTCTACTTTAAATAGCTTTTCTGATATCTGGAATCCTATGTCAGCTGCCTACTTGTCAGGTCTTTTTTAGATATCTCATTAGTTTCTCAAACCCAAGTCCAAATTAAACTCCAGATATTTCCCAAACTTCCTCGTCCTTCAGTCTTTCCCATCTTTCACTTGCTCACACTAGAAAGTGTAGACTCATTCTGATTATTTTTTTTCCTCACAATCCTCCTTGAATCCATCTCTGCATCTTATTGCCTGTGGACTCTACCTTCAAAATATACCCTGGATGTGACTTCGTATTTCCACTGTTCATCACCACCAGCTTTGTCCAGAGCACCATCAGTTCTCATTTGCATTACTGTAGTAGTCTCATAACGGGTCCCCCAGCTTCTGCTCTCTTTCAGTCTGTTTTCTGTATTACAGCTTTAACGATACTACTAAAAGAATATAGCAGGTCAGTGTCATTCCTCTGTTCATCTCACTCTGATCTGTCCTCTTTACTATCATCTCTTTGACCTCTTTTCCTCCAACTCTTTTACTTTTCTGTGGTTCTATTGCCGTCCTTCATCAGATACTCTGAGCTTGTTCCTAGCTCAATCTTTGTTCCATACAACTATGTGATTTGCTTTCTCATTCCCTTCAGGTCTTTAACCAATTGTCCTCATCTCAGCGGAATCTCCAATCACTTTGTGTAAAATGTAATTTCCTCATTCTTGTCCTCTTTAACCTGACACTTCCTATATCACTCTTGGCTACTTTTTTTTCCCAGTGGCAATTGTATATTTTATTTATCTTACATATTTCCTGTCTATTACTCATGCTTTTCTCCACAATAAATTAAATTCCTTGAGAGCATAGATTTTTTTCTCTTTCATTCACTGTTGTATCCCTGAGTTCGTAGGGCAGTTTTGGGGAGATATAACAGGCATAATTAATGCTTTATAGAAGTGTATGCATCTCTTTTCCCATTTGTAGCATGTGAAAACAGTCATTTGTAGTACTTTAATCTCTGGATCACTTTGGGTTGACAAGTACATGATAACTTCCCTACAGGAACTGCTGACATGTTACAGAGTTGTATACATTATGGAGGGGAAACAATGTAGTAAATTATTCACTTCTTGGGATTGGTTTTGTATTTGGTCTGCTGTTACTCAGTACAATAACAATATTTACCAGTTTTGAAAGCAATAATAGTTGGTAGAATACCTGTTATGATTAAAGCCTTGTATTAGTTTTTCTGTCAGAAACACACTGAAAAAAGTATGCTTTAATGGAAGGTTTTCAATTTATAACCTAAGTTTATATTTTTAAATCTAGTTTAAAATTTTAAAAGTGATATAATTGTTTCAGTGGTAGTATTATATCATTTCAATTCTTTTGATTCGCTGAATCACTATTATATTTGTAGCAATTTTGGAAGCCAGAGTATTCTTAGGAACAAGTAGAAACTTGGCTTCAGGCAGGAAATATTCTAAAAATATAAGCCTTTACTACTCAATATTTGTAGCTAACTTTTCAAAATGCGTATATCAATTGATATTTATTTGAACTGTTAAAGAGGTGTTTGTCAAAAAAAATTCTTCGCTATAATGAAGCTTTAAAAAGGCCATATAAGTTGTTCCTGTCATTTTTTTTTATTAAAAATGTTCCTGTCATTTTTAATATTTGTGGATATTATTTTTTCTTCTAAAGGACAAGGTGGAAAACTGGTTGACAGAGGAGACAATACTTACGGAGGAAAGTGGGTCATAAATCCTAGTGGTGGATTGATTTCAAAGGGACACCCACTGGGAGCTACAGGTAATACTACATATGGATTTTGTTGGAATTTTTGACAATAAATGTGAATCATTAATCATTTATTTATTTATTTTTAAAAAGATTTATTTATTTATGCATACAGAACTGGGGTACAAGCCAGAGGTGTAGGGGCAGTAAGAGGATTCACTAGAGACAGAGTGAGGAGCAGAACAGGTCAACTGATGAAGAACACTGCTGAGGGGAGCAGTGGGCAGGGTCACCTCTCAGGGCAGGGATCAAACTCATGCTGAAGTGGCTTTAGCTTCTTAATGCTGTGCTTTAACCCGCTGGGCCACCAGGGAGGACCAGTCATTTATTTTTAAGTCATTTGATTTGATTTAAACGTTGTATTTTCTATACGTGTAGCCAGTGCTTTAAATGTTTAGCCATGGTATATTTTATTTTCCTTAAGTACAGTATACTTGGTTAATTGACGAAATCTTGGTTAGTTGACGAAAATTTGATGATTAAATTCAACAATACATTTCTAAAGTTTTTTTTTTTTCAAATAAGTGTGCTGCTTAATTAGCAAGGTGTTGTCAAATGTAAAACTTGCTAGGCCTGTTAGACAAGAATCATTTGAGGGCCTCCCTGGTGGCCTCGGGGTTAAGCCTTAGCATTTGTGGCCTGAGTTTGATCCTGGCCAGGGAGCTAACACACATGGTGCAGCAGACCTCTCCTGTCTTGCTGCTCCCCTCAGGAGTGTATCTCGGTGGACCATCCTGTTCTGCTCCCCACTCTGTCTCTGGTAAATCTTCTTACCCCTGCACCTCCGGCCTACTATACCCTAGTTCTTCTATGCCAAAAGAAAAGAAAGGAGAAAAATATTCATTAAGAAATCATTTGAAATCAGTACATAGTTGTTATGTTTCTGGTATTTTATTTTGATAGAGATGAACTAGAAGTTAATTAGTTAATCTCTTTGACTTTTAGTTTCTCCAATTGTAAAATGAAGAAATTGTACAAAGAAGTTTCTTAAGTAACTTAGCACTAAAATTCTGGCATTTATTTTTATAAAGATAAATGAGTTTTATTCTTTCCAAATTGTCTTACCGATTGATTAAAATTTTATAAATTCTTATATTCTGAAGTACAGACATTATCATTAATAATTTTTCATTACAGCAATTAACTATTTTATTTTGTCACTCAAATTTAGTAAGCTTGTGATTTAATACAGAAAAACAGATTATATTGAGAGTAAGACAGACAAAGATATGTACACAGATAGTTGTATATTTGAAAACTTGCAGTTTGTTTTCTGTCTTATCTGTTTTTTGGTTCTTTTCTTTTCCATGCTATCATTTTGTTAATTGGGTACTGTTTAGTATTGTACTTTTTCTGAAATTTTCTTATTCTCTGGTAGTTACTCTAGGAATTGTCACAGCATCTTTAGTTTATCACAGTCTACCTTCAAATAATGCTATGCTACTTCACATATAATATGAATTATTTTTGTAACAGTATATTATTATATTCATTTTCTTCTGTCTTTTGTGTGTTAGAATACAATTACTTTTAAATATGTTCTAACCCCCATAAAATACTAGTACTAGAATGCTTTAAGCAATCTATGAAAGAAATTTAAATATGAGAGGAACTAGAATGATTTCATTGGGAGTGGCAAAATGACAACATCTGAAAATACTCTTTATAAAAATACCAAGAATGCTGGAAATTTTTTTTCAGAACTTTGAAGACTAACCAAAAGCTTAAAGCTATCTAGGGGAACACTTATTAAAAACAAACAAACATCTGAATCTCTGTAAAAACTGTAAACATTGTGGCATTTTGACTTGTTCTAATACCACTGCCTTTCCTCCAGGTCCATGGTAGCTTTGAAAGCCAATAATCTGTTAAACATGGTGAAAATTAACAGCCTCGCTAGCATTGAAGGAGTAGAAAAAATGTGGAACTCTTTCTAAGTCATTATCAGAGAAAAGTCATTGCTTTATTGTGCTTTTCTTGATTGTGCTTTGTAGATTTTTTTTTTTTTTTACAAATTAATATGCTATGCTATAAAAAGATTGTAGCTTGCTGAAGACTCAGAAGATGGTTACCATTTTTTGGTAATGAAATTTTTTTTCTAAAGATTTATTTATGCATACTGGGGTGCAGGCCAGAAGTATGGTGGGTGAGAGGATTCACCAGAGACAGAGTGGGGAGCAGAACAGGCAGATTGACAAAGTACACTGCCAAAGGAAACATCAGGCAGGTTAGGAGAGGCCTGCTGTGCCATATGGGTTACCTCCTTGGTGGGGAACCAAACTAGTGCTGCAGTGGTTTCGGAAAGCTTCAGAAAGTGGTGCTTTAGCCCGTTGCAACACCAGGGAGAGCCCTGTAATGAAATATTTTTAAATAAAGGTATGTGCATTGTCTTTAGACATCGTGGTACTACAAACACACACATCAAAGTTACATTGTAAACATAATTTTTAAATATATTGCAAAATCAAAAAATTCATGTGACGCATTTTATTGTGATATTTACTTTATTGTGGTGATTTGAAACCAAACCACAATATCTCTGAGCTATACATGTATTTGACAGTTCCCTAGTATGAAACTCTTGTCTTTCTGTAACTGACTGAGAACTTAACCAGTGGAGTTAACCAGAGTCATTTGTTGAGAACAATCAGCAACAACTATTTTAACAACATAGTTGCCTGAGATGACAATGACAACTGGGCAAAGAACAAACCAACCAAAAAAGTTAAAAGTAAAAAACTGGAGAGAGATGTTCATTATGGTGTTTGAAAAGATCTGGAAGTTTTCCTGGAAATGTAGAACACCAAGTACATATGGAAGAATGTATATAAGCCTAAAGTTGTGTGCATGCTCAGAAAGAACCTGAGAAGATCCTCTTACCTGTGGCTAATCTTGGGTCTGCATAATATTTCCATGATAACCAGGATCAATCACCCCAGTCAGCTAATTCCCTTCTTGCCTATTAGTTCATTGTCATGAAGAATCCAAAGTGGGCAGATGGCAGTCTGCTTCCAGTTCTGTGGAGCCATTGTTTAATCTAAGACTTCTAAACCTGTAGAACCCAAATTTTAGGGAATGGCAAATAAAATTTTTTTCTGTCCTTTGACTCCCAGGGGACTTGTTTACTGGCCACAGAAAAACAGCACCATTGATTCAGAGGCTCATTTTGGAGGGTATTACTTTAGCCTCACAAAATTTGCTAGTACCATTTATAGAATCTTCAAATTGTCTATCAGACCCACTGCTTCAGGGAGATAGAATATATGGTAAGCCTAGTGAATGTTGTAAACAGGACTCTCTGCATTTCATTCATTGAGGCTGTTAAATTAACTTCTTTTTTATATTTAATTTTTAAAAAGATTTATTTATTTATGCATGCAGAACTGGGGTGCAGAAGTGCAGGGGGTGAGAGGATTCATCAGAGATAGATTGGGGAGCAGAAGAGGTTGACTAACTGGAATACACTGCTGAGGGGAGCAGAGGGTGGGTCATCATGTGGGTGACCTCCCTGGTTGGGGATTGAACTCATGCTGCAGTGGCTGTGGTAACTTCATAGTGCTGTGCTTTAACCTGTTATGCCACCAGGGAGGGCCCTGTGAAGTGAACTTCTTAACGAGGGGAAGTACCATGTTGGCAAATCAGCTCAAATATCAATGATAAAAATCATAGGGGATAGCCCTCCCTGGTGGCGCAGCGGGTTAAAGTACAGCACTAAGAATCTAAAGCCGCTTCCGCATGAGTTCGATTCCGCCTGTCCCGGATGTGTCCACATGGTGTGGCAGACCTCTCCTGACCCCACCCGCTGCTCCCCTCAGCAGTGTACTTCATTGATCTGCCTGTTCTGCTCTCCACTCTGTCTCTGGTGAAGCCTCTCACCTCCCCTGAGCCTCTGGCCTGTACCCCAGTTCTGTATACACACAAATAAATAAATCTTTAAAAAAAAAAATCAGAGGGGATATAAAAATTAAAGATGTAGGTGGAAAAGAAAAGATATTTAAGAATAATGAGAAGAAATGGTTAGTTATCCAAGGGAGGAGAGTGTTTCAGGCCAGAAGAGTTAAATCAACAAAGAATAAATGTCTTTTGGATTTGGTTAATATATTCAGCAACTTTGAAACAAGTATAGTGAAATATTTTATATGGAAGCACATAGGTATTCAGAAAGAAGTAGAAGTGAAAAAGCATGAATAGTGCAGGTAAATGTTTTGAGTAGTGACTGTGAATAGAAAGGGGTGTGTAGGGAATCTTCCTCAATTATGTGTTCTCTATGAATGAAGTCTTAGGTTTGATCTTAGCCTCTTCACTTTTCTAAGTATATAGCTTAGTTGATCCCAGATTTTTTTCTTTTTAATTTGTAAAATTTTGTAAAATCTACCTTATTTGATGGTTTTATGGGTTCAATGAGGATACGTGTGTGTGAATTATATAGTAAAATCCTCAAGACAAACTAGGAAGGAACACAGTAAATGTCAATATTTGCTCCTACCATTTTTATAAAGGAAACCATAATGGATCCAGTTAACTGTTTGTAATAAGTCCTTGCTTGTATCACAGTATGAGAAATAATTCATAACCATTTTAGCAACAGAACAGTCTTAATTTATAAAGAAAATAATTTTCCTTCTAATATGACTGTTGCCAAAGCATCAATATCCCTATGTTAAAATTGTGCCTAATGCCACACAGACATTATTTTTAAACTATATTTCTGTCTTTGGTAAATAGACTAATCTGTTTCCCTTATACCTCAAAAGAATTAGGTCATACTTGAATGTTGTTGTTGCTAATGGGACATAGAGAAGTTGGGGTGATAATAAATATTTCTGTGGTATGGTCATTGACACCTTAAAGAATTATAGTTAGCATTTGAGATGATGATTTAATTTCTCCTTTCAGACCGCTTCTCACTCACATATAAGAAACCTCTGTTTTACCAGAAGATGAATGTGAGATGTCACTTAGTTGTTTTTATTGATACTTTTTTCCTCCTTAAAAGAGCATTTTTTTTAAGA